GCCAGGTCACCTTTTCACAGGCGGCCCGCCCGTGCAAGGACCAGGGAAGGTTCCAGCAAAAAAAGAATAAAAATCCAAAAATAAAAATAAAAATTAAAAAAATTTAAAAAAAACTACGTTATGCACGAAAATAAACTGAACAACATTTGCCTCAGGGCCACATCGAAATTCGTTCCCAAATTTAAAATAAATTAAAAAATACTCTGTTTATTTTTATTTTTTCATTTTTCTGTGGCCCGGCCACACAAGTCGTCCCAGGCAATTCTGGTAGCCAAGAAAAAAACAATGAAAACAAAGAGGGTAGTAGAAATGAACTGAATTTTTTTTTGGTTCGTGTTCGGCTTTTCTCGGCCATGTTGGCTTCTTATTCCCAGGGTTGGGATGTGTCAGGGCAGCGGTCTTGATTCGGCCATTCTGCTACTAGACCACAGTGTCCCAAGGCCTGCACCTAAGCTGGGTAATGGTCCCAGTACCAGTTTCTTCTTTGTACCGGGTTGATTTGTTGAGGAATTCCCGGCCTCTCTTTTTTGCAATAAGAATGAGCAGTCTTTTTTGTAAAAAAAAAAAAAAAAAAGGAAATGAACTGAAACAAAAGGGAGGCTGGAGATATTCAATTTTCGAAGCTGAGATCAGCATGCCACATGCCACGCACTGCAACTCTAAACCAATAAAGATCGGGGTAATTACAGAAATTCTGAAATAGCACATTTTCCAAGTAAATATTCCCAGCGGAAATGTTGTCGGGGTCCGAAAGCTGTATTTTTGCAACGAACGTGGGACCCCTTTTCCAAGTTTCCCAGCGGAAGGGTTTGTCGGGGTCCGAAAGATGTATTTTCACAACGGAAGTGGGACCCTGACTGCAAATATTTTTGCTATGAAACTACCAGGGCCTCTAAAGCTGCATCGCAAGATGTATTTCTGCAACGAAACTTGGGCCCCACCCGTATTTTTGTTGTGAAACTGCTGCGAGCGCGCTATTTCTGAAACTTAACCATAAAGAACCGTACCGTCCCTCCTGCCGAGAAGCCTCCAGGCAAGATCAAGGAAGATTTAAAAGAAAGTCAAACCAACCACTACAGTACTCTCTGACCATTCCCTTGCCAAGCCTGCAAACGCCCTGCACGCCCCCCCCCCCCCCCCCCCCCAACAAAAAAAAGAAAAGCCAATCCGGCGCAGGCCTGCTGCCGCCAGCCATTTAGTTTCGGAAGGCCTACCGCCGGAACTTGCAGCAGGCATGCGGCTGCCACGTTGGAGAAAAAATGGCTGCGAAAAATACCGGCGGCTCAAAACCTTTATCGAAAAAACGGAAGCAGCAAGGAAGGCGCAAGAATGGAGTACAGGAGACGCAACCCCCGTACATAGTGGAAGTGAGAGTCCACATGCCTGGATTCTTCATTTCTGGCCATTGATCTTCAAAATCTATTGTCAGATCTGCCTAATCCAAGGCCCCAAACCAGTCAGCACTTTGACTCAGAATTGAGCCCTGGGCAAATCTTTGCCAGGTGGCAACCTGTTCACACCTCTCTTTTTTCTTTTGTTTTATTCTAATGATTCAGAATTCATTTGATTCCCAAGGCATCGTCAATACAAGAATGTACCGTCTTCCGGTCAAATAGAACGCACAGTCATTACTGCTGTATCTAGACTGATACTTTCCCAAAATACCGCTATAACAACTGTACCTTCTATTCCCCCCCTCAGGGGGAAGAGGGGGGTGGGTGGGGGGAGGGGGGAGCGGAGAGGGGGGAGGACAGTAGCTCAACAACGGCTGAAGAGTCTCTTGAGTGCACTTCCATTTGTAATTTTTGTGATCTCGCTACTTCAAAGCTACATGCATGACAAGCATTCAGTCACATGGGCTGTTTTTTTTCTGTTTTTCTATTTTTTAACCCCCATAAGTTTCACTCTTTGACCCCTGACGGATTCCGATGACAAACATAATTCTGAAATAACTGGGCCGACCATTTCTATGACAATACCTCAAAGGCTGGCGCCCTTCTTTAAAAAGTAAAGGGGGAAAAAATCACCCGTACACCTCATTCAAGGCCGACAACGTGTGTTCATTAAACCGCTAGTACACGACCCCAGCCTTGCTGAAAAGAAACTCGTCGCCAGCCTGAAATACCTGGGCCCGTCATTTCTATGACAATACCTCAAAGACTGGCACCCTTCTTTAAAACGTAGAGGGGGGAAAAATCACCCGTACACCTCATTCAAGGCCGACAATGTGTGTTCATTAAACCCCTAGTACACGACCCCAGCCTTGCTGAAAAGAAACTCGTCGCCAGCGAGATGCCATCGGAAAAAGATGGTGCAGGCACAGTGACCGTTGATAAAAGAAATTGGTGGCCTGTGTCGCTTTTCAGATTCTGACAGGCGTCCGCGGCCGATAGCTGGATGTACTTGTGAATTAATCTGAGACAAGGTTTGCATCTCCCTCTTTAAGGACGGGAATAATCTCCGGACGACAATATACGAGCACATTGCGTCTTAGGGTCCCCACTGACACCAGGACGTTCCTCAGATGTATCTGGCCGCTTTTACAGCCTGGCATGGATGCATGATACCACTATTACGTTCTCATGTAGGGTTCGCAACTCCCTTTGATAAGGCCAGGGATAGTCTTTGAACGACCGTATGAAGACATAACATCTGGCGTGAGTGACCATACTCACGCCAGGACTTTCCTGGATGTATCTGATCGCTTTTACAGCCTGGCATCAATGCATGAGACCGCACTTTCGTCCACATGGAGATCGAAATTGTAGTCCTTCCTAGTGTGACTACGTCCTTCCTCCTTAGGGCCTAGTCTACCCAATGCATCTGGAGGGGTGATCCAAGCTCAGGGCCAGATCGAGGCATTCACATTGCCCTAGAGGAGTCCGACCTTTTCAGTTGAGGACCCTGTTGACATCTGCCAGCCTCTCATATTCTTGGATTCTTTAATTTTTTATTTGGGCCCTCGAATTTCAGTTCTCTCATTATGTGTGCCATCCTTGCCTTGCAGAGCTCTGCAAACGTCATTCTTACGTCCTCTGCCTCTTTGATTTCTCCTCGTTCTTTTCCCTGCTGCTGCTGCTGCTTTTCCATTTTTTATATTCCCTTTTTCAAACCTTTTTCTCGTCGTTTTCCATGCCCCTGCATCTTCACCATTTGTATCCTCCTCTGCGCACCACGATCATTCTGTGTTTGTGCATTTTCGACAATTTTTTCCTCCTCTACGCACAAGGATCATTCTGTGTTCGTGCATCTTCGCCATTTGCTCGTCCTCTACACACACGGATCATTCTGCGTTTCATTTGTTGCTCGCGCATCTTTGCCATTTGTTCCTCCTTCACGCACCAGGATCATTCTGTGTTCGTGCATCTTCGCCATTTATTCCTCCTCTACGCACAAGGATATAATCATTCTGTGTTTCTGATCATAGACTACGGCGGTCGACGCCAGGACCGTGAACGATCCTTGTATAATCATATCTTCGTTTTGGGGAAACGTTATAAAACCTCTGCAAGAGCGAAACCATTTGTAGTCACTTCACCCCAAACGGAGGCCCCAAAATGACTTTTCCTGTCATTTTCGCACCCTGGCTGGTGCCCGTAATGCCTCTGTGCAAAAATGGCGGGAAAGTGTTTCACAGGGTGCAAAAATGATGTCAAAAGTCATTTTGGCGCCCGCAGCACTTATTGCCCCGTATGAGAAGGAATACGAAGGATTCGCCTTGGGGAGTTTTTATAACATTTCCCTCCTTTTTTCCTTTCTCTCCCTTGCCCCGTATGAGAAGGAATACGAAGGATTCGCCTTGGGGAGTTTTTATAACATTTCCCTCCTTTTTTCCTTTCTATCCCTTTTAATCACCATACTTGTACTGACCCACCCTTCCCTAGCTCGCCATCGGATAAACTTCACAGGAGGAGGGCCAGACTTGATCCTCATCTGGGACCTTCGATCTGAAAAGCAGCTGATAAAAAAACACCCACCTCCCATGGGAGCTGCCGTAATCCTACCCAACATAAGCTTTCCTACCCAACGTAGGTACCAAAAGCCAATGCCCACGGTAAGGCACATGGCCCGTTAACTGGGAACACTCGCCGTCATCATACTCTCTCTATGTTTAATGTGAGACGGAATGGAAAACAGACATGATTGCCAGTTAACTGCCACAGGTGACCTCTGAAACTCTCAACCACGAGTAGTTCCAGGGGACTTTACTCCAACCCTTGAAATTCCATGCGCGCCAAAAACCAAAAAAAAAAAACACAAAGCAGTAGAACTGTCCTGTCTTTTTGCATCCTTGTCTTAGAGGCTCACCACAACCACACAGGCCGTCGAAAACCCGGTTTTCGACAATTTTGCATCGCCACACAGACTTTCGAAGAATTGCGGCTCAAAAACTCTTCGACAGGTGTCAGAATGGTACGCTCGACAGCCACCCTCCCCCATTCGTTTTCTCCCGCCTGCAGCAGACGAAAATTTGACAGTGCCCCACTGGCCTTTCGAGAATTGCGTTCGAATTTGCATTGACAGCCTCTCAGGGACTTTTCTGTGACGGTCATGACCAAAAACATTGCCCCTCGACAGCCTGCGTGGCGAAGGGGGGGGGGGGGGGAAACCACCTCCTTTCAATTTCTTGTGGGGACAGGTGGGGGGGGGGGGAGGGTAAACTGTCGACCCCCAACTTTTTATTTTTTTCTGACAGCTGTCGAAACTCTTTGGATTTTCGACAGCCTGTGTGGCGAAGAGCCTCCCTTCGCCACACATTTGGTCATGGCCAGGCGGACTCCGCCTTTCGACAGGGCACAGGTGTCACGGAACAGTCCCTGACAATGCAAATTCGAACGCATTAAATTTTTCTCGAATGCAAATTCGAACGCAATTCTCAAAAGGTTGGCGGGCCACTGTCGAATTTCCGTCGCCTGCCGACCTTTCGAGAATTGCGTTTGAATTTACATTCAAGAAATTTAATGCAAACTCGAGAAATGCATTCGAATTTGCAATCATTTTCTCCCGCCTGCAGCAGACGGAAATTCGACAGTGCAGGCAGGAAGGGGAGGAAACGATTGCTCGAGGGCTGCTGTCGAAAGTGTATGATTCTGACACCTGTCGAAAGTTTTTTGAGCCGCAATTCTTCAAAAGTCTGTGTGGCGGTGCAAAATTGTCGAAAACCGGGTTTTCGACAGCCTGTGTGGTGAGCCTCTTAGGGGCCTCGCCGCACCACTCTTGAAAAAAACTTTTTTTCAGGAGTTGCTGCATTGCCACACAGCCTCTCTTGAAAGTTAGGGCAGTCGATAGCAGTCAAAGTGGCAGCCTCTTGAAACCCCTTTTCAAGAGCACTGAGCATCTCTTGAAAGACTGGAAACCCTTTCGAGAGCCTCCAACTTCCGATTTTCAAGAGTACTTGCGAGGCCGTTATCCTGACGCCACTAGAAAAAAAAACAAAGCTGTATGACTGTCGTTTTTCCTCCTCTATCCAGCACCATCGCCCCTTTCAAGAGTGCTGTGTGGTGAAGGGCCGAAAACTCTTGACAACCCAATTCTTGAGAACGTCTTCTGACAGTTCTTCAAAATTTCCCCGTTTCAAGAGCGGTGTGCCGAGGCCCTTAAGCAGCATGGCCCTTTCAAGAGTGCTTGCAGTGCGGCAAGGGCCCGAAACTCTCGAAAAAGAAACTCTTGAAGGCGTCTGACAGCTCTTGGAAGGGGGTCCCCCATTCCAAGAGTGGTGTGGCGAGGCCCTAGTAAGAGAGAGGCAATCACGAACCTTCTCAGAAGAACAAACAACGTCATACTATGTGCGGACTTTATCGACTGAGCTGTGGACGTAATCGCAATGATATGCGTTCAGTTCTTGATGTAAGTGCGGTCAGATGCATCCGGAGAAGTAGTGCGAGTACCTGAGGTGGAAGATAGGCCATGGAGAAGAGGAGGGGAAGCAGGCTTCGGAGGGAGGAGGAGGAGGAGGAGGGAGAGGGTGGAAGAGGGAGGAAGAAGAGGAGCAGGAACAGAATTTCCCCTTTCCTTTGTTCTGTCTGTTCTCGTCCACTCTTCCTGTCTAGATTCATCTCAGCTGGTGTGGTGGGAAGATGGATCATGGAGGAAAGGGAGACGAACAGGAGGACGAGGAGGAGGGGGGGGAGGAGGAAAGGGAAAAGGACACGGTAATGCTTACCGCTAAAAAGCGCTGCAGGCTTAGCCCCACCTGCACCATCGCCGCCCGCTTGTTTGAAGCGCGCTAACTCGTCTCTTAATACCGAGTTTTCCATCGCGGTGATGGCCATTGCGTGTCGTAGATGCGCGACCGCTCCCTCGAGCATCTGACACTTGGCCTCCAATTCTTTCTGATAGGACTTTTTTCGCTGTCTCGACTGGCAAGCCGACTCGCGATTCCGTATCAACCTGCGACCCCACACATTTTCGTATTTTCGTTACCCCATCCCGACAACCCACCCAATTCCGAACCGATTCCAACCCAGCTTCACCCTCAGCACCCCCATCCCAGCCAATGATTCCGCCCCCTCCCAACAATCCACATCAGTGCACACACACACACACCAACGCAAAATCAGCAACGACAACGATCACATATTAAAAAAACTCACAAGCGCATGCGCAAAGAAAGAAAGGTCTAGGGGAGAGAGAGAGAGAGAGAGAGAGAGAGAGGGTTGCGGGCCCAACCGGTCTTTTATTGTGCGCACCAAAGCGTCATACAAACGCCGTGCATGACCGAAAAACAAAAAGTTGAAGAACGTAAAAAAATAAAACATTAACAGCAAGCTGCAGGTCGAGGGTTCATTCGCCAAAGGTGTCGATGACGTGTATATTGTCACAAGAATATCAGAGCGCAAATGCGAAAAAAATTAAAAAAAGAAGGAAAAACAGGAAAAAATGAATTCAGTTTTTTATCTTCTTCCTTGTACCCCCCCCTGCGCCCTCTTGCATACAAGGCCGCCCACGTGGATGTAGGTTGAGCGGCGACTGCCCCCACCCCCATGTGTCATATCGACCCACTTGCACACAGCCAGAAGGCAAAGAGGCAAAGAAAAGAGGAAGGGAACAGCCAAATAAAACAGAACAGGGGGCAACAAAACAGATCCCAGATGACAAGTCCCACATGCAAGCACCGCCCCAACACACACAGGCCAAACGACGGGACAAGACCAACCAGGTTGTCAAAACATTCTTGTCTGCAAAGAAATAAAAAAGAACCCGGAGAACCGGTATAAAAGACAATCCCGGATGACGATTCCCACACACATACAAGCACCGCCCCGCGTTCCAAAAGGCCGAACAACGGGAAACAACCACCCAGGATGCCAAGACAATAAAAAACCCGGATGACTGATCCCACATAAAGCACCGCTACCTGCTGACTGAATAGACCGAATAACGGGACAAAACCAACCGGGATGCAGACAAGATTACCACAACAAATCTACCATATCCATAGTCAAAAAAACGGAACCACACAGTAGGCCCGCAAAATGAAACACCCCAGCAACGGGGAAGAATGAACAACAAAAGAAAATGTGGGATGATAGGACGATGATTAAAGCAGAGAGGTAGCAACGTCGGAGTATATATATTGTCACAAGATATCAGAGCGCAAAAGCGAAGAAAAACGTAAAGAAAACAAGAAAAATGATATCATTTTTTAAATCTTTTCCTTACAACTTCCCCTGTTCTGTCGTTTGTCTGACAATATATGTGGGAAGTTGTTACATATGTGTTGACCCATTTTTTAAATCTTTTCCTTACAACTTCCCCTAACTGACACATATGTGTTGATCCATACCTACAGACTTCAGTAATAAGCCTGAGATTATTAGCAATTGGACAAAGTACAATCATTGGCCTCGCTAAAAAAGGCCGCTAAAAAAAGAAATTGGACGAAAAGGCCGCTAAAAAAAGCAATTGGAAATGCGGGAAACGTACACATCCAAATCAATTGGACAAAGTACAATCATGGGCCTCGCTCCACTACAGTAAGTTAACTCTAGACATGCACAAAAAGACGAATACCATGGCCGCGGTGCATCTTTCCATGTCCTAACGAAAGATTCACTCTCGTTTTGCACATGTAGAGAGTTGTAGATGGGCGAGTCCCCATACTACAAGTCTGTGGTTCTCTTAAACAAGAGGGAAAACAAAAATAAAGAGTTCTTTTTTTTTTTTTTTTTTTGGGAAGAATAAACAGTTCTCGACAGGTACACAAGCGACCGAAGAAAGAAAAGAGTTCATTCACTGATCTGGAGAGGTGCACATTTTCCAGTGATTAGTAGTTACTGTGGTAATAGTAATAATTGGGAAAAAACCGAAAAAGTACCAACAGGCCTGCCCGGGAGCCGGGACCCACTAGCATCGATTTACGCTTCGGCAGTTTGGTTTTCAACCACGTGCGGCGAGAGGTGACATCCGGCGACGGTTGATCCTTTTGTGTATCTTCGGCGCGGGGCGATAAGGACCGATTTCGTGGACCTGACTGTCCGCCGGCCAATAGAAGAGTTTCGTTTTCATTTTTTTGTCCATTTAGGTAGCCACTTTGCGTTGGCGCGAAGCTGCAATACTATGTTTTTTTTAGGGCGAGGGGTGTTTTTTTGGAAAGCTTGAATGTTTTTTTTTTTGGAGAAATTGAGCATATTGAGATTTCCGTGGAAGACTAAGAACAGGCCGGCGGGAAGGTCGCATGCAGATGTACGGGGTTGGTGGAAGTGTGGATGCATAGCGTTGGCCTTGTTTTCTTTGCATTTCTGAAAATCAAAAAATGGATTCTTTATATGTTTTTTTTTTAAAGAAACGGCCGCCACACACCGATTTACTCGATGCTAGTGGGTCCCGGCTCCGGGTGATTTGTTTCCGGTCCTCCTCTCCGTAGTCGACGGCCACGCCAGGTCTTTTTTTTTTTTTTTTTTTTTCCCAAAAGACTGCTCATTCCATTTCACCAGGTCAAATTCCGCTAGCAGTATGATACGATTAGCTCGGATGTATTAAAAATAATAATACTAATAACAATATATCGTCACAAACAGAACTGCCCGGTAAACCGTAGGCAGAGAGAGAGAAGAGGACAACAATAATATATATATTATATATATGGTAGATCAGATGCGAGCGAAGCAAAGCGATTGCCAACATCTTCGAATCTTACTTTTCCAATGGAACATACGGAGAGTTTTTCCCCCAGATAAAGATTATTTAAAAAATAAAATAAAAAACTGAAAACGAATGCAATTTCAGCAAAAAAAAAAAAAAAACTTTCAGCCTCCGCACAGATAAATCAGCTTGCCGGTTGATAATCAATCAGGGCTCTTTTCTGAACTACGTCATAAACCAACGGGACTACCGTCTTCCCCCGAATATAACGTAGGCGGTCATTTTCGATGCATCTGGACTAAAAGGTGCTCCATATACGGCTACTATGACCGTACGTTCTATTCGGGGGAAGACAGTAGCTCTGCACACCCATGAACTGTTGAAATGCAGACCTAATTATAGTCATACGAGTAGTGCCAGGTAGGTAGGGTGAGGTGAAATTGAGAGAAGAATGTAGCTTACTTCAAAAAAAAAAAAAAAAGAACTGAATACGAGTCCAGATGGAAGTAGGATGTGTACGAAATCAAATGTTCTGAGCTATCTGGGGCCGGCTAGTTCCACGACGATGATATCTCAAGGCCGACCAAAAAAAAAAAAAAAGGAACAGAAAGAGAGCCACGTTTCCTGCTGCTACCACAACGATGATATCTCAAGGCCAATCAAAAAAAAAGGGAAAAAAAAAAGAAAAAAGGAACAGAAAGGGAGCTACGTTTCCTGCTGCTACCACGACGATGATATCTCAAGGCCGATCAAAAAAAAACAGGAAAAAGAAAAAAGGAACAGAAAGAGAGCTACGTTTCCCACTGCTACCGTCTTCCCCCGAACAGAGCACACGGTAAGAGGGTCCTTGTGGAGACGTTTGAGCAAAAACAAATACTGTTTCAGATCAATCTCTATCAGCTGAAACACGGTATGCTTCAAAACAAAAAAAACAAAACAGGAAAGGAAATGTGGGATGCCTTGAAAAAATACAAGGATCTGCTAAAGAAAAAAGAAATGATCTCCATAATCTACTGGCTTTCCCCGAGCCTAACGCACCCTCATAATGAATGTATACAAGCTATATTTCCGACCAGGTACTGCCAAAATGAGGGTGCGTTATGTTGGTGGTAAAATCGGGTAAACAGAGAACATACATATATAGAAAGAAATGACCACCAGCCTAGGCTACCAGCCGGGCCGCCCGCGTCACCTTATTTTCCCGGGCGGCCTGGCCGTGCAAGGACCAGGGAAGGTCCCAGCCAAAAAAAACAAAAAAAAATCCAAAACATCTGAAAAAAAAACTACGTTATGCAGAAACACAAACTGACCAACGTTTGCCTCAGGGCCTCGCCACACCAATGTCGAAAACTGAACTTTTTTTTATTTATTTTTTTGGGGAAGAATTTTCGACATCTTTTCCTCGCCACACAGCATGTCGAAATCCGAGATTCAGGAGCTGTCAGGGAAAGGGTTTCGACACCACCTCTCGAGACGGGCTCGTTTCCCAGCCTGCAACTTGGACATTTTCAACAGTCCTCCGATGGGATGTCGAATTCTTGCCCGAATGTCGAAAAAGAGAACGCACCAACGCTTGTCCTATCTTCACCCCAGTTTGTCTCTTTTGTACACAGGACTTGTGAGTTCTTCACTTCTACATGCTGTGTGGCGAAGAGGGGTTTTCTGTCGAAAGAGGGAATGTCGAAAATCTCCTGACATATGTCGAATTTCGTGATGTTTCGACATTGGTGTGCCGAGGCCCTCAGGGTAACATCGAAATTCTTCACCAAATTGAAAATAAACTTTTAACTGAAAAAATAATTTTCTATTTTTTTTTATTTTTTTTTTCTCTTTTTGGCCCGGTCGGGCAAGTGGACCCAGACCGCTCTGGTAGCCTAACCACCAACCGAAAAAAAAAAAAAAAAAAAAAAAAAACACTCGAATCCGTAGCTTGTACTCTGGGCAACTTTCAGTCTAATAGCTACAGCTATAACGACCGTGCGGTCCTTCGGGACATCCGTTAAAATTGGAACGATACAGAGAAGATTAGCATAGTCCCTGCGCAAGGATGACACGCATAAATAACGACCGTGCGTTCTATTCGGGTAAAGAGGATAGTGCTCGCCCTCTGGGGTTGAAATCTCTCTCTCTCTACTCCGAAATAATAATAGTAATAAAATAATAATAATAATAAAAATAATCTCCCTATCCCCCCAGCAGGATAAAAGCTCAAGTGTGAGGCCCCACTTGCACAGATCAGTACTACGGATCTTGGCCTTAAATCTTTCATGATCTGCAGCCGCAATCCCTCTTAGATAATGCTCACACTCGGACCTCTTCGACTGACGCCTGGACGTAATTGCAGCCAGATACATCCAGGTCAAGCTCTAATTCCAGTCAAATACATTCAGCAAAGTGCTAACGCAGTATGACGTCAACAACAGAGAAGTGAGACTTGCGGGAAAAGCGACCTTGACCCAGATTCCGATTGCGAAGCAAATGGAGAGTGGAGTCCAACCCAAGCTATGCAGATCGGTGATCTCGACTGCAGACATTCGATCGGGATCGCATCGGAGTTTTATCCGGCTGCTCCGGTCTTCCCCCCGACACAACCCAGAGCGTATGGGGAGGAGGGGTAGGATGGGGTTGAGAGAACCAGAGGGCGAGGTCCCACTGGCAAAGAGGATTGGATTGAACGCCTGAATCTGGCTGCGTATGTAGACAAATACAGAAAATCGAGATTGAACTCCTTTTCTGCATCTCTGCCTAAAACACGCCCAGATTCAGGATCTTAATCCAATCCCCGTTGCTAGTGGGACCATGCTCCACAGGGCCGACGGGCTGTGGACGACGATTACAAGAGTGTACGACGAAGGGAGGAGAGAGACGGAAAGAGATTCTAGAAATACTAACAATAATAATAATAATAATAATCATAATAATAATAATAATAATAATAATAATAATAGTATAACAAAATTAATATTTAATATAGTAATAATAATAATAATATGTTAAAGAGGGAGGAGCACTGCACACACACCTCTTCTGTCTCTTAAGAACCTCCTCTTCAAAAGATGAGCGGGGCGCAGACGCGTCCGCGTTATCAATCCCGCTGGTGCCGCTGCTTTTGTTACCTCCCGCACCATCGGGATCGCTCCCTACTCCCCCAAGTCCGCTATCCGCGGCGCCGATGGCGGCAACAGATGCAGCGGCGCTTGCAAGGGCTGCAGCTTGCGCTGCCTGCGCCGCTTGCGCGTGCTTCTGCTTGTGATCCAGCCATGACCTACTTTTCCTGCGCCCGAGTACCGATCCTCCCCCCCCACCTTGCGCCGCTCCTGCGGCTCCACCTCCGACAGCAGGGGCGGGGATCCCGGTCGCCACAGCGCCTAGACCAGCGGAAAGACCGGGTGTGGCGCAGGCCGCCGCACCGATCTGCACGGCCACTGCGCTCGCCCCCCCGCCTACTTCCCGCCCGTTCATTGCCATCTGCCCACCAAGCCAGCACCCAGCCTCCGGAATCACCGCCCGCATGCCCGAAGTGACAGATAAATCCACGATTCCCCTGCGGTAGGCTGCGACGTCCGCACATGGAGAAGGACCTCCTCCTCCTTCTCCTCCTCCTTCTCCTCCTCCTCCTCCTCCCTCCCCTACTCCTCTCACTCCTTGCATTGCCACGGCAGAGGAGCCGCTAAGATTCATATACATCTCCCAATCCATAGCACTCGTTCCTTTATGCACGTGCACGTGCGGAATCTGCAGCTGCTGCTGCTGTTGCTGCGCCTGCGTCAGATCTGCCTGCGCCACCCCCCGCGCACCCGATTCCTCCTCGTCCTCCCCCCCCCCTCGCCTTCCTTGCGCCTGCTTTCCGCTGTCATCACCATAGCCGAGTAGTCGAGTCATGCTTCCCCCATTTTCTTCCCCCCTCTCCATCGCTGCTTCTCTCTGCTGCTGCTGGCCCACCGGCACCACCTTCCCCGTTGACGTGTCAGCTCCTGCTGCCGCCACGTCATCGAGCGATCTCAGCGCCGTTGGCGAGTTATAGTACATCGCCGCCGACACCGTGCTATTCACTGCCTGTGAGGAGGCGTTCTCATTCGCTGAAGAAGACGGCGCGACTTGAGAAGCGCCCAGCGGCGACATCACCCGCACTCCGCCGCCGCCGCGGTGCTCGCTGCTCACTGCCGCCGACTCTCTGTGTGTGCTCTCCGGCGTGCCCTCTCGCCCCTCCCCTATGAAGCTCCGCCCCTCACTCACACCTCTCCCACCACCTCCTCCTCCAATCCCTCTCGAATGATACTCCCGGCTTCCTCTTCCCCCCGCAGCTCTTCCCCCTGCCGCCCCTGCCCCCGCTGCCCCCGCCCTCCTCCTAAGGGCCCCCCCCGGAGCCTCCGCTCGTCTTCCGTCCACCGAAATGCAGCTGCTGACACTTGGCGATCCGTCCGCGTTCCTCTGCTGCCCTCGCCCTCCGCAGGCGATGTCGCCGCCGCCGCCGCCGCCGCTGCCGACGTGCGCTGCTTCGCGCTGCTGCTGCTGGGCTTTGGCCGCATGACAAGCGGCTGCGCTCGCTCCCGCAGCTGCAGATAAGTTCGTCCGCCTCCCCTCATCTATCCCCGGATTCCCAGCGCATCGCGATCGCGATCGCGTTCCCCCCCCCGCGCCCGCGGACTCTCCACGCCACTCGTTCGCCGCCGCCGCCGCAGTCAACTGCTGCTGCTGCTGCTCCGCCATCGGCGCTTGGAGGAACGCTCCTCCCAACCCCCCCCCAACACTCCCCGCGAAGTCGGGAAATCCCCATCCCCCCGCCTCCGCGATGCTTAGCCGAGGAAGAGGCTCCAGAGGAGGAAACTCCTCAAAATCCAGATCCGTTAACAAATTCGGTCCCTGCTCGGCTGATTGCTCGCGCAACTCCCCGTCCGTGCGCATCGTGTCCATGAAGATGAAATTGTCCCCGGTTTCGTGAATGCTGCTGCTCCTGCTACAGGGGGACCGCTCCTCCGCACGCATCGCTGGCTTGACCTCGGGTTGCGCCGCCGAAGACCGTGCTTTCCCCGCCTCCGACCTCATTCCACGTCCCCCTCCCCCTCCCCCTCCGCCTCCCCCCCCTCCTCCTCCTCGGCTACTACTTCCAAACACTGCTTCGCCTTCTCCCCATCCCGAACGACAATAGCGCAACTCCGCTTCGAAGCCGCTTCCGACGGTCCTTCCGCCATGATCGCGATCGCGACCTCCGCCGCTTCTGTGTTCCAGCTGTGATTGCTGCGGCCCCACTATGCGCTGCTGATCTGCGCCTGCGCCGGCGGCAGCCGCGCAGGAGGGGAACAAGTTGTTGCCGTCAGCGGAGACAAGCGCAGCCGCCGCAGCCGATTGGCACAGCGATGGCGCGGTCGAAGATGCAGGCGGACCCGCCGGCGCCCCCGCCGCTGCAATGCGCGCCAAGCAAGCATCATTAGCCGCTTCACTCTCTTCACACATGAGCATCTGAAACCCCCATTCTGCGCCCACCATGGCTATCGGCGAGCCGCAGCACAACTGATAGTTCTGCAACGCCGCCGTCGCCGCCGCCACCGTCGACGACGCAGGGGACGGCTCCAAACTTCCACATTCTATCATGTGTTCTGCCGACAGGCAGTTCCCTCTTCAACTCCGCCTTCCTCCCCCCC